CTATCCTCTATGAAATTGTTAATGATAATTCACAAACTTCAGATGTTATACTATATACCATACAATGTACTTTCTAAATGATTTTATCAAGTATTAGTGATACAAAATATGAGTATTTACAGGTCGAGTAATAAAATCGAATAAAAGGACGGGTAATGAAACGGGTAGTTAAAAAAAATGATACTAATATTGAACTTTTGCATGCGGATAATAAACCCTTTTCTCGAGATGGGTACAAATCAAATAACGAGTAGAGAGCGAGTAACGAGCATTTGTGTCTGGTCCTAGTATGCAGTGTATTTCCCTAATAATAAAATCATAATTGAGTTCCGCTCACTCCAAATGGTTTGTATTGGTGGAATAGATGGAATTATATGAGTGAAAAAAATAAAGAATGGAAAAAGATACGTTGGATGATTTATTTTGTTCTACTAGTTCTTCTACTATTTTGTAGATGAATAATTTTTCCCAATTTTGTTCCATCAAATAATAAAAATCTAAAAAAAAATACCCCATTTCACACGTTTTTATATCTCTACAAGGCACCCTTAGTTATATTTGACAAACATAAACAAGTTGAGAGTTGATGGGCATGATCCGGGCCAAGCCCATTTAAAGCCTAAAATGTAGCTTAAAACTTAAAAGATAGGTTAATTAGGAGTAGCAATCCAAAAGAAAAGTTCCGAACAAAGAAGTATCTGAAAAGATGGCGAAAACGATGCGATACTGGTTGCTGAAAACAGAACCAAGTGAGTGGTCATGGTCAGACCAGGAAGCAAACGGTGGCATCAGCAAATGGGACGGGGTCAAGAACAAACAAGCGCAGAAACATCTAAAGTCTATGACTCTAAACGATCTCTGCTTCTTCTACCATTCCGGCACAAAAGCGAGATGCGTTGTGGGGGTAGTGGAGGTGTCTCGTGAATGGTACTCCGATGATGATAACGGAGAAGGAGCGGTCGATGTTAGAGCTGTTGGAGAGATGAGAAAATGTGTGGATTTGAAGGAGATGAAAGGAGATAAAGGGATTAAGGATTTTGTTTTGTTCCGACAGCCGAGGTTGTCGGTTGTTCCAGTGGAGGAGAATGTCTGGGAGAGGATTTGTGAGTTGGGAGGTGGGTTTTGTGGTGATGGCAAGGAAGATCGTGAAAGCGGCGACGAGTCTTGAGTTTTTACGAGGATTGATTTTAATTTAGATCTGTTCTTTTTTTTTGGTTAGTGCGATGGGTTTTTAATTTAAGTATGGTTCGGTCTTAAGCTGAATGGTTTGTACTGTGGTGAAGCCTTAGACGTTCTTTGTTTTTTTTTTTGTCTTATCTTGGAGTTTGCGCATTGTATCGAACATATGGCGTGCAAAAGCAACAACGTTATATTAATTTATTAATACTCCATCCATCTGTATCATTTTAAATTATTTTTACGGTTTTTATACATAAATTAAAAAATTATTTAATTTTTTATTTTTCAACATAAAACCACCATTTCTAATACAATTTAAATAATAAAAAACTAATCTGCAGAATTTAAAGAGTCAAAAATAACAAAAACATAATTAATTTTATT